TTAAGCATTCTCCGATTGACTTCTCAACAATGTTAAATACGATACCGCGGAGCTCAATATCTATAACAAACGAATAAGCAACTTTCGTGATGGTTTTATATTCTCTTCTTAATAAAGTCTGATATAATAATAATAATTACCGCATTAATTAATTACTTACTTCTGAATAATTTTTAATAAGAGTAATATAGTAATAATAGTGTTTATTGATAATAGTAGTCTAGCAGTGGTTATACATTAACTCCTTACTGCATAATTCGTATATATTTATTCATAGTGAATCCTTTTATGTAACATAGAAAAATATTTTATAGAAGCTATTATAAAATTTATCATGTTACTTACTTCAATGGTAGACATATGGACACAGAGTCTGTAAAAAAATTTTTGAAAGATCGTATGGTTTAAACAAATTGGAAGCCAAGTTTGCAACTATCAGTTGCACCATGCACGATTGTTGTTTCAAAATTGCTTTCAAGAGTTTGATTCGTAATATGCGACATTATACGCTTTTTAGATAATGTTTCAAAATGCTATAGGATGGCACCGTCGTGCTCAAAACCTATAATTGAAACAAATAACAGTGATTCATTCAATATTAAATCGCAAGCATTGGAAAGTGTCCGTGAGAGAAAGCAATTAATATTATTATATCAGATTGGAAAAGTTGCGTTGGAATTGGATTTGTTGTATTTTTGAAATTAATTAATTCCCCTTTAAAGGAATACGTGCAGAGTGTTCTCGGAGATAAACGGTACATACTGTATTATGTACTTGAACCATACGTATTTAGTTATTATTAATTAAACAAGTATCATCGCTTACTCCGGTGTACGTTTCCAGAGACACAATAAAAAATCCACAAGCAGTCAAGCAACAGGGTGTTCTGGACCTCAAAATAACTAGTATCAAGTCTCTTCGTAACATCTTCCCGTGTTCGTCCATTGGCAAAAGCGACCATAAACTTTTGTACGCGGCATTAGCCACGTTCATACTGTCGTGTATCAGACAATCACAACTATAAGTGAACATCAGTAACTGACACATGCAACCCGTTATATGAAAGAGGAATGTAAACCGTCTTGAGCGAGGAGCATCATCCTGTAGAAATTGCGTTGTGGACATCATTACGAATAAATTGCAACCGTAACGGGTACTGCCGAACTAATAACATCTTTAGTTTCGTGAGAATGGAAAAAGAAAAGATTTGAATCACTTCAAGCAAAAATAGGAAATTAAGACGCATATGCCGCTAACCATAAGTATCAAGTATCCATCGAGGCAGATTAACAAGCTGAACAGCGACATCTGTCCAAGTACGAGAAAATTGAACACCTCTTCGAGTTTTGTACAGAATTCAATCAGCGCTTGATGCTGTTGAACGTGAACTCTAAACTTTTTATACTTGCACGCACTGTATAGTGCATATGATTTTTCCGAATGTTCGTGGAATTTTTCGTGATCGTTTGTGTTGCACATATTTGCAAACCTATGTTGCAAAATACGGAACTGAGCAGCAGTGTGTAGATTTAGAATGCATAATATGTTGTCGAAGCAATGGTAGCACACGCCAACGAGATATCCACATATGACCTGTAGAAGCAAGTAACATAATTAAACGTTGGATAAAAAATCTGCTAATGTAAATAAAATAATTGCCAATAATGTGTGAAAACCTGTAGTGAGAACAATATTTCGAAATACGGTGTGAAGGATATACGATGATCAGGCAACCGCATGTTAAATGGTAGTATCCTCTCGGATTCATTCCTTCCCTGGTTTTCTACAAAAGATTTTCTACAGGATCGAGGATTTTTCTGATTTCCTGACTTTGGGCAAGCATATTAATAAATGTCGGTACAGTTTGTATTAATATCTGTATAGTAGTGTATAGTAACATCTGTAGAATTCAATATGTGGTCAAAATGTTTCATTAGTACGTCGAAAACTCGCAGCTAAGATGTTACATTCGGAGTCCTCCTCCCTTATACTTTGAAATTTTGTTTCATTCTGATGAATGGTACTTATTTCCAATTGTAAATTATGCTCGTACAATTTTGTCAAAGAAGTAGGTCACCTATACATAATTTTTTTGAAAAGCCAAACCATTATTTTTATGGAAGAATGCTAGTCGTCTAGAAGATAATCCTTGTAACCTGGATCTAATTGTACCTATGATATCGATGAAACAATCCCAACAATTAATTGCTTAACTATACTTATTCGTATTCCATTATTAAAGTGTTGTGTTGAAAGCGTGCTAATATTATCAAAATTAATAACAAATGATCTCAGATTTAGATCTCTCTCGTACATACACATTGATGAAAAAAAAAAATTATTTTATCTTATAATAATTACTTTGTGCTTAAATATCTTACCTATAAGTGGTCTTATTATATAAGTAGTAACTGTTCCCTCAGCAAAGAAACTGAAAATGCAAACGAAGGTGATGCATGTACGTTTACATCTGTCCATAATCATTTGCTCGTACGAGTCGTAATCCGAGTGCCAAAAATTCTTTTTCGCGTAATGTATTACGTCATGCAGCTCGTCGTAATATATTAACAAGACGAAGATTTTCGTTAGAACCAAAATGACAGTTACAACGTTGCACACAATATAAATAGTCTCCTGTAATTGGAATGTCGTTCTTTGCTTGAAAGTTGTTTTGTATAGAATTTTGCCAAATTCTCGATTGCTATCTGTCTAATTGTCAATTTATATTCTTCACTCACGCCAAAATCTCCCCAAGTGTAGTACAAGTCCCTCATTTCGACCGATAGAGCGACAAGAATGGCGAGGAATGTATAAAACAAAGCAAAGTTCATCCACAGTCTCTCAGCGTGATTGTTAGCTATCCAAAATCCAACAAATTTCAAATGAAAACTGGTGATGATGATAGAGAAATCTTTGACTTCCTTGGAGCTCATTCTGTGTCTGCGACGTGTCTCGGACGTTTCAAACTTCAATTATACCACGAGTTTCTATCTTACTTGTCACCCAAAGGTGACTTATACACTTTGGTTTCGATTCCTTGAGCTGTCGCTGTTTGGCTTGTTTCGCGTATTTTATTGCATAGACAACTAGTTATTTTGTACGTCATTGTAATTGCTGTTCTCTGTATAAAAAGGGGAAAAAAGTGTCAGATGTATAAATTATAAATTATTCTAGGGAAACGGTGAATGTTCAACGATGATGCGGCAGTCCAATATATGTATTTGTTGCTTGGATGTCGTTGAAGAACGTTGTACACTTCGAATTGGACCACAGTTGCTGCTCTTGGAGAAAATGGTGGAATTTATAAACTTCACTTGCAAATTGTTTCGTATGTATACTTTCATGTCCTTTTCGTGTTGTATGCATAACTGTATTTCACGCGGTATGTTAAATCGCCGATAATCATTTCATCGACACCGATATTCACTAGTATTCCAATTTTTATCATTTAGTTTGTTAACGTACGCCTGATCTCTACACTTGCTAGCAGCAGAAATCCAATTGCATGTTTGTAACATTATCTTGTCTTTCCTTCGCGAACAGAAATAATTGAAAAGTATTTCCCACTTTTTCTATTTTGTATCTATTCATTGTGCCATTATACAGCGATTACGTTCGAAAATGATGAGCAAGATTTTTGTTCCTTTTTGCTCCAGTGTTATTCGTCAGAGTGAAACGAAATTTTGAAGGGTCGGGGAAGAGGGGAAGAAGACTCTGAATACATCATTTTAGTACTGTTGGTTTCTGAGATATTAATTTATTACCGATACTATACCCTTCTACTTTATTTTCTCCGATCATGTATAAAATTTAAAATTTGTTTAAATTTTTAAACAAGTTATATTTTTTGTTTCGGTTGAAGTTAGGGAGAAATGATACAGGAAGAAAATGAAAGATTTCGAGTGGACTACTGACGATTATATATTATTTGCAAATGCAATAATGCATTTTGTAGTTGTATTATTTTTCAAAATGTGCAATAGTATCTTTCCGTTTTTCTAAAAAAAAAAAATTGAAAAAATATTAGAGTAGAATATGGTTGAAGGACGATTAGTTTCTTTATCTTTATTGATTTATTATCTTTAAAGATATTTTGATCTTAATTTTGTGATCGCTTCGATTGATTGTGAGGATTGACGAGAAGTTAAGAGTTAAAAATGTAATTAAATTCCGTTTGTGTAAACTTGTTTAGGGGTGGGGAAGGAGAATAGGATGTAAATTATAGAGAATTCATATAATATTCATATAACCATTATATATGATTGTGATATTCATTCTTATCATTGTATGGGATTTGTCACATTTAGATTCAAGTAGATGCAACTGCTAATGTAGTCGAATACTGTGTAAAATTATGTCGGAATAAATATGTATGCTGGTCATTTAAATCACTGTTATATTAGTATCATCTGAATATTTAAATAACAGAAAAAATTATGTCTGTTTTTGAAAAATAACAATTGTTTATGATTATGTTATAAATCTCGCGTAAGCTTCGTGTCACGTCGAATCATTGTAAATCATTGTCCTCTTCTGAAACCAAATATTAATTTATGATACAATTTTTGACATAATTGAATACAATTTAAGATTTTTTTGTTCATAGTAAAAATCGATAAAAATAGTTAAATTGTACTATAAATTGCAGAGATGTGAAAGATGTACCTCTTCATCAACGTTAGCAACACAATGTAATGTCACAATCGCATTATTGCGAAGAGATTGTAGCCAGGTTAATAGAGATTGTTATCATGTAAATATAGATTTTAAATTCTCAAAAACCGTACGGATTAGGTACGGAAATGGAATTTTTATTAGATGATTGGAATGAAATATTTTAGCTATTATAAAATTTACCATGTTACTTCAGTGGTAGACAAATGGACACAGAGTCTGTAAAAAATTTCTGAAACATCGTAGCATTTAAACAAATTGGAAGCCAAGTAAGCAACTATAAATTGCATTGTGTTAGATTACTTTACTTGATTGACTTAAGAAAAACTTTCTGAATAAATTAAATTCTATGTCAGTGTAGATATTTGCGAACAATAAGCTATTTATATTTCAGTACATATACGAATATATACATAAGTATTCATTTTTCTTGCATTTGCTATGTTTCAGTGACGTGGAAAAATATGTTGTTTAAAAAATTACGGTTTCAACATCAGTTAATATTTTAAACAGTAGAACTATTTGTATCATTTACTACTTTATATATCAATTGTATTAATACTAATTTAAAGTTTCCTTATCTTTAACAAAAAATTCAAAAAATCATTTAATTAACTATATTTCTACAGTTACAGAGATATCAGTATACGTTGTAAATTATTTTCATTCTGCGTACATATGGAGACTTAATTTCCTTCAATCCGCAAGGATGATTCCCTTATAAGTGTGAAGTATGAAAATGTCGAGCTCAGAAGCTGTAACAAGAATTTGATATCCACTTAAGTGTACTCTTAAAATTTATTAATTTTGATAAATATAATAAATGTATTTACAATATAAATAGGAAGTAGTGTCTTAAAAATCAGCTTAGCATTAACTAATAAATAAATCAGTATTTATGAAATATTTAAGACCGTCATTGTTTCTTTGAATGTTTGAAATTTACAAATTAGATTACGTACTGCAGTAGATGTTTCCAAAGACACTGGAAAGAATCCACCGGCGGACAGACAACACGGTCGAAACGATTTCATCATCATTATATTCACGTCCTTTCGTATCATTTTGCCAGTTTCAGTCATTGGTAAGGTCGTCCACCAGCCTGAATAAGTTGCGAAGCATACTTTCGTACTTTCCTCTATCAATCCGTGACAACTATACGTGAAGAAAACTATGTGCATAAAGCTACCAATCACGGTGAAAACAAAAATGAGACGTGTCGTAGCAGGTACGTCTGCCTGTATACATAATACAGTAATCGTTATATTTTATATTTAAATGAGTTAGTTGTTGTGGTATTAATGTCAACAAATTTGAGTTTCACTGTAAATTAAAATTCTACTGTGTTTGAAAACGAGAGAATTGCTTAAACGTACCAGGAATATCTCATATGCATCAATGCACATTAACAGACTGAAGACTACTACATGGGCGAGAATTGGTAATGTATAAACGTTCTCCAGGCTGTTGCAAAATTTGATCAATGATTGATGCCGCCTGATACATTCTTTCAACGCCTCATAGCATTTCTCGGTGTAATCGATTTTATCCTTTTGTTCGGCGATTGCTTTCCACAGATTCAAAAGCTTGTATTGAAGCATGCGAAATTGGTACATCACGTGCACGTTCACTATGCATAAGTAGTTGTCACTGCATAAATAGGTCAGACCGACTTGTTCTAAAGCTAGTACCTACGTGAATTGGAATTTTCCTTAATTAATATATGTACGTAATTATTTGATTATTTGATTAATTACGAATCACTATCATCGATAATAAATACACGTGTTTACGTACGGACGTGTATCGATGAAAATTTAATATACCTGAATGGTGAACAGTATTTCATAATACGGTGTCATACTCATCGGTATATCGAGCCACATTTGAAACGGAAGTATTCTCTCTGATTTGTTTTTTCCATAGTTACCTGAAAAACATACATTGGAGTATAAGTTTCTTCCTATAATATTCGTAAATCATATGTACTATTAATAATTTGGTTGAAATTTTGATAATATTTAATCGAGGTGATGATTTTGAAGGACAGAATAAAGGATGAAGTACTCTGATGTTTAACTTTAGATCACTAAGTTGACGATTAGTTGTACTGTATTCATCTTACAAAATATTAAACCTATTTACTTTTATTTTACGAACGTATTCCTTTATAAAAGAAAGATGGTTCTCATTGATTATTCGATTGATCCCTTTATTATTAGGGATCAGATATCTCTCCATATGTCGCACTTTACAGTATGTGATATCATAAATGCATAATAATACTTTTGGTAGTCAGTGATAAAATATCTTGTGACTTCGATATTTATAATTAAATGTTACTCATCGAATATTTAGTATCATTTAGGTGCCTTAGTATCATTTACGGAATTTAACTTAATTCACTTACTATATAACGGTGTAACTACATAGAAAGACAGACTCGTTTGTATCAGAGTGAATGCAGCTACGGCCCATAAGTTGCATAACTTTCGACATTCCGTGAAAAGCATTCTATCATTATCTTTGTATTTGAGATCCCAAAAATTTTGCTCTACATACAGAATTATTTTGTCATACTCCGTTCTCAGAATGTATAACACCATAATTTTAAAAAACGGTAGACTGACGCTTAGTAAGCTGGACATCACAAAAGCGCAATGCTGAAGAAATAAAATCTAAGAATCAATCGAATGCTTACATATGCAGGATAAATCTCATAACATGACGATTTGAAATGTGTAAATCATCCCTGTATGAAAAAATATTTCAAACAAAAGTTGCAATACTATGGTATTGCAAAATGTTGCAATTATTACAGTTTTCTAATTATTTTGCTTTTTTATCAAAATTTAAAGATCATCTTCAGTTTCTTAAGCGGAATGATATACTTTTTAATCTTGGCATTCTCTATAAAAAAGTTTTGACCTATGTATGAAAAAATTTTGGTTTAGGAGATATTTTAAGTTTAATTTTTTAAGATCTGCAAGGACGAGAAATAATTAATATTTTTCTGATCAAAGTGTTCTTGTTTTTCATGCAGAGATTTTATAAAATTAAAGGTAAAATATTACCAAACCTAGTAACTTATATGTGCACATAAATTAATAATTTTTTGTATATTTTTGGCATTCAGGCGATCATTCCTATATTACTGCAATATACAATACAATTAAAATGAATCTCTTTAATTTAATTTTAACATTAAGATTAAATAAAATGTTATTGTTAATGGAGATGTTGATGAAAAGTATAAATATAATAATTAGTTGTATAAGTACTAGCTATTTATTAAAAATAAGTGTGAACGCTGAATAATACAGATGTACTAAATTTAGAAAAATACTTCATATTATTTATGTATTATTTATGATAATATATAGTAAATTAACGGTGGAAAAGCATACAACATAAAGCATGAAACATAATTGTAGAAACGTAATAAAAATATCAACCTTGTAATGAAATAGTCCAATTATTATATAGATGTGCGCGGTTATGTACATATAAAGTTTGCAATAAATATTATTAATTGTAATTGTTAATAACAATATCAATTAATAATATAATTAATAATGTTAATTTTAATAAATATTATTAACTATAATTTTCGTATAAAATTGGCAATCGTTTCATACTCACGTTAAAATCACCCCAACTGTGGTAAATGTCACTGATATTCATATACAAGGAGAAAACATGAAAGCCGATTGTGTACGCCATAGCGACTTTTTTTAGACGTTCTTCGGCATCATTTGTGGCCATTGAGATACCCACCACTTTCAGCAGAAACTGCGATAGTCTAACAGAAATATCCGAGTATACCGTCGTATGCATGACGACCTTTTCTTTCGATTTTGATTTATAAATCACGCGACAACTAGTGAACCTACATCCGAGCGAATGCAATTCAAAGTGACATTACTTTGATCTTTCGAGACAGCTGAGTATTTATTAATGAAGAGATGTTTTGTCTAAAACCAGTTAGAAAGTCAAACAATACGAGGACAGAAATAAATATCATCATAAAAGTATCACTGATGTATCATATATGCTTCAAACGCTTCAAATGCTTGCATTATGTATGCTTGTCGCATATTAAATATGGAATTACCATTTGACCATCGTATCGATTATTTTATCGCCAGAAAAAAATTATGCTATAGCTGATGGTTATTCAGAGAATAAGATGTTCGTATTATTTTCTGTGCATAACATTCAATGTACATTTGAGTTGAACAATGTGTATCTCTATTGTATTCCATTGGGCTTAATTGTGCTATTGGATAATACCTATTACTTGGTGTCAAATGTAAGACATGAAAATATATTTATGAAATGAAATAGAAAATAGAAAAGAGTATAAGTCAGTATAGTTGAATATATTTTATTCATTTTTAGAAATATATCAAGTAGGATTATTTATAAAATTCTTGTGCTTATTGCTGTTCCTTTATTTTAGAATATCGTCTGCAATTTATCTATGATTAATTAATTAATTATATATATTTGTACTATGTTTTTAAATTATTGCAATATAAAATATAATTCAAGTGAATCTTCTTAATTTAATTTTGATATGTACAATTAATAGATATTGATAAAAATAATCTGCATCGTGAAGCAGCAGCTATTTATTAGAAACGAATATGAATTTTGGAAATGCAATAGAAAAACGTTCGTTAAATGTATCGAGATGTAAAAGATATCAAACTTTTAATGGAATTGCATTAGGTATTCAATTATGAACGATAATGTAAGTACACCATCCTTTGCAGCACTTTGTACGCACAGAACAAATAATTCGAAAGCTTATCGCTAATTCATGGTCATTGTTGAATGAATGTCTGAATACGATGAAAATTAGAATATAATATGTTTATTTTACACATGCTAGAGCTATCACTGTTTCATAGAAATTGATGAGATTCATTTCGAAAACATGCTTTCTAAAAGCTAGAGTAAATCATTGTAA